GTGCCAAGTGTTCCGCAAATTGCCTCCTTAACTGCGTTTTCTGTGCGATCTGGGTTCTTTCCAATAGCTTTTTGTATTGAAATACTTCGAGTCTGCACGTTTCCGTTTTTTTGTTTAATGCAACGCCCAGCGCAGCCATCTGCGATCCAATCGCCTCTTGGGACGTTTTGGCAGGATAATTTGCTTTTCCGTGCAAATGTGCTCTGGAGCTAGCAACACCCTCTACTCTAGCAGACGTTCCGATTTGCGAGCTCGGTTGCGTGATTTCACGGCATTCACGGTTTGCATGATATTCATACTTTTCCGTGCGACTCTGCGTCCGCAATAGCTTGTCCTTAGCAAAATATGATGCATTGTTCTCAAGTTCTGCCTGTTGTGGTTTTTGGTGAAGCTGGCAGCAGCCTTGGATTCAGCCCAAAACTGCAAAGTACTTTGGCTGGTTTTTGTGTGTTTTCGAAAACCTTAATTTTAAGAACAGTAAATCTATTTTAGCTCTAGTGGCTTTAGTAACGCTTTTCCTTTGTCTTTTTTCGGTTTTGGGCTTATATACCAAAATCGTCATTAGATTAACCTGACGTCATCTTCGAATTCTTCGCAGGCGTGGCTGCAGTGGTGGAGCACGCATGACAGTCTACGTTAGGAATCTTATTTTCAACGCGCGAAGAAATAGTTGCGGCCAGGATCTGAGCACCACTCTTGTGCTGTCAGTGAGCTACAGAAGCTGCAGACGAGCATTGAGGAACGTCCATGTCGAAAGAAGAACGTCTCTGCAGCAGTCTACTCAGGTCAGAGATGCACTTGTGGATTGTGGAGAGCCTAAGCTTTCCGCCAGCGTACTCAACTCTGGACTTTTCGTGCCCGTGAATCTTAGTTTTCCGCACGTCCATAGAAGATGCAGCTGAGCTTGGAAATCGCATCGGAAAGATCTGGTCGCCAGTTGCGTATTCAGGTCGGACACGCGCTCTTGGATTTTGTAGAGTCGGAGCCTCAGTGGCCTGCGAGATCAGAGTTACATTATGCGCCCGCGCCAGTCTCGAAACTTTCGCTTGATGCTTGCTGGCGGCTCGAAGCATGCATTCTGCGCCTGTTAGCCGTCGTCGTTGCCACTGAGATGTCGTTTCGTGCAGCTTTGAAGAAAGAAAACAACGTCATATCCCTGAATGACTCGGACGAAGAGCCAGCCATCGAGTCAAAGAATGGCACGGGGCCGAACGCAGAGGCAGAGACGGCTGTCAAAGTGGAGACGCCCGAAGACGATGAGGCAAACTTCCGGAAGCGGAAGGCGCATCACATGTTGTGGGGTGAGCATGAAGGCCACGGCTTCTGTCGTGGCTCAAATCAGCTGCCTTGCTGCTTCGGAGTCGCCGGGGGGCCTGCTCATGCGAGCCCGTGCGGTCGCTGCGACCTATGCAGCAGCGACTCTTTGGAGGCGTTGCACGAAGGGATGCCGCAACGCATTACACATTTGCTGGCAAACCTGAGCGGCAAGCCACTGCAACACGCCTATGTCCGGCTCAAACTGGTACTTGGAGAGACGGCGAAGGAGGACTACACCCGACGTCGCACTCGGACACTACAGCGCCGTGACCCCAATCGACCTAGACGGGCGCCTCGGAAGCCGAAAACAGGCTTGGACAACGAATAAGCTTAGTCATGTCCTGCCAAGTCGCTGCAAAGCAGCGGCAGCCGGTTGCGTGGGCAAACCACGGCCAGGCTCAAACCCGCCTCTGATTGACACGATCGCGACGACAAAGATGCTCTTGCACTTGATCTTTTCTTCCAGCTGTATGCGCAATGTCATTGCAGTCTCTCAGCTTTCATGTCTAGGACACCAATCTATCAGACACCAGGCCTACATTCATGTACATGTGCAAGGACATGTCTAGGGCGATGTTGAACCTGCATGTCGCGTCCACACAGCTGCTTGCAAGACCTCTCTCGTTGCCAGTTTTGTCGCACCAGAAGCGTCATCGCAGCCTCTTTTGCCAACTTGCTGATTCCCAGCCTTCTCTCATCGCATCTTCTCGCATCATGTCCGACGGTCTCTTCAACCGCGCCGAAGAGGAGCAGGCCACAGAGAACGTGGCCAAGAAGACCCGGCGCGTGAAGCTCTTCCCGTGGGATTCCGTCGCGGCACAGATGTTGGAACCGTTCGGAGAGTCATCTTTCGACAGCATGAGTTTGGAGTCGCTCTGGGCCGCTGCCGCTAAGGGCAACAAGAGCGCGCAGTATCACAGCCATCTATGCGCGTCCCAAAGCGAAGACCCGTGGCACGTTGGTGCAGGGATCTCGCTGACTGCAGCGGCCCTATTGGCCGCCATCAAGCATTTCCACAGCGACGATATGAAGCACCTCCTGAAGCAAGAATTCTACCAGAAGATCGAGCAAGACGTGCAAAAACTGGAACCCCTTCTCAAGGTCTTGAACTTAGGCAAAGGCAGTCAGACCCAGCGGGATACCGGATCATTCCGAGCTGTCAAGAAACAGAAGACCGGACCTACAGAGGCGAGCGGAGTCAGTGCCACGCCGGAGCAGATGGCGGCAGCCGCACAAGGATTCCACGCATGGCTGAAGCAAGAGAAATCGGCCTTCCGCAGCTACCTCTTCGTGATGAGCGGTTCCAATGCCTACTATACCGCCCACATCGCTGAGACGGTGGCCCGAGCTGGCGTAGCTCACAAGCCGATGTCCGTGGACGACTTTCAACAAGCCATGCAGGTGAGAAGCAGCCAACTCCCTTCGACATCAACAGGCCCTCAAGGTGCTTCCAGTGCCTCCGGTTTGTTCGACATGTGAGCCTCGTTGTCAGGCTAGGGTAGCCATTAAACCGGTACTGTATATTGAACAGTGCCTGCTACAGAATCGAATTTTTGAGCACTTGCAGCACTCCTGCAGGCCGGAACCGGTTGCGTGGGCAAACCACGGCCAGGCTCGGGCCCGCCCTCGACTGATGCAATCGCCAAACTAAAGCATGCTTCTTATACAGCTTGTCTTCTTCTAGCCGTCAGCACACTGTCATAGGCGCTCCCAGGACTGCCTCGCACAACATCATGAAACTCGGCCGCCGCCAAGCTGTTTTTGATCTACCGCTTCTGCTAGCTGATACGTTTCCCCAGAGAACGTCCAATGGCGGCCATCGTTGGCTTCCGGAATCTGGGACACTCCTGCTTCGTCAACGCGGAGATGCAGGCATTGATCGCAGTGCAGCCCTTGACCGAAGCCCTCAACGATGGCAGGAATACCGCCGAAAAAGCGATTCAACAGCTGCTCGCTCGCATCGCCGGCAGTCCGCAGCCCACGGTGCCAGTCGAGCTGACCAACACCTACTACCGGGGGCGCCAGGAGGATCTAGTCGAGTTCCTCGTGAAGCTGCTCGAGGAATGCCCCACATGTGATGAGGTGTTGTGTGGCACGGAACAACCGACACTGCAGTGTCAGCACTGCACCTACAGTCGCCCATTGCGCGCGGAAAACTTCCATCACATGCAGCTGCCAATGATGTCGTCGGTTCAGGCGGCCTTGGATGGCTATCTCGAGCGCAGCACAATCATGGCCGACTTTAGAGACTGGTTTTGTCTGTCGTCGGCATGCCTGACTGCCGGTATCGCCGAGGACTATCCGCTGCACAAGTCTCACATGGCAAATTGGCCCCGTGTCCTCATGCTGAGCCTTAAGCGTTGGAACGGACCAGACGAAGTCATCGGCGACCGGATCTTCTGCAACAGAACGTTGAAGGCCGCCGACCGCGTGTACGACCTCTGTTCCCTTGCGACGCACATCGGCGATCGCCCGGAGAGTGGTCACTACATAGCCTATCGACGCCAAGGCTCCTGCATGATGAAGATCGACGACCACCATGTCTCCAGGCTGGCTCCGTGCTACGAGGATTACATTGTCACTCAGCCGTTAGAGAAAATCTACGTACTCTTCTATGTCATGAGAGAGACGGCAGAGCAGGACTCCATCCAGGTCAGGCCCGCCAAGTTTCAGAAGCTCTCGGCCGCCACGATCATCGACCTGGAGGGCAACAACGACGACAACAAGCAGACGACGGCATCAACCAGCGACTCGACCAAGCAAAACGACACCGACAAGACAAAGCAGACCACGTGTTCAACCGAGACGAAGAATGCGAACATATTGGACGACAGTGACTCAGACGTCATACCGCAGGAAGACACTTCGATGGAGAACGTCCAAGAAACACACCCCGCGGCGCCGGGGAACTCCGCAGATCCAGCAGACGACCTTGAGGCCTTGCTTGAACGGGAGTTGGAGATCTTTTATCANNGGAGCAGGACAGCAACAACGGACAAGCAAATGACAGTCAGATGTCACAGATCTCAAAGACGCGACAACCGGAAGCTCTTCGCCGCTTTTGCGAAGAGGATCGCCTTAGAGTTGTGCAGCTGATCAAGAAAACGATTCCGACTTCGACAACTTCTTTGCCGTTGCCTTTGGAGTGCCTGCGCAACGTTGTCAGAATACAGCAACCGACAGCTTCGAAGATCAGTGGTTGCTCAAGAGCTCCTGGCAATTCTGTCCCAATTGCGGTCGCAAACGCGCTCGTACAGACGTGGACCCGACACCACTGCGAAAGGCGCGTGCCTGCAAGCCGTATTGCGACGCCGATGCTGTTGAGCTCTTGCACCCTCCTGGCGCAGATGCCGTTCACAAGAAGAAGTCCAAGTTGTTCTGCTACGTCACCCCGCTCGCCGAACACTGGGAATCTCTAGTTTTGGAACTTCAGGCCACAGGACTGCCACTCACGGCGGGATTGACAATGAAGGAATTGTCGGGCCT